CCCTTTCCCTTTCCCTTTCCCTTTCCCTTTCCCTTTCCCTTTCCCTTTCCCTTTCCCTTTCCCTTTCCCTTTCCCTTTCCCTTTCTTTTTCCCTTTCCCTTTTCTTTTTCCCTTTCCCTTTTCTTTCTCCTTGCCTTGCCTTGCCTGTCTATTCCTTGCCTTATCCCTGCCCCTGTCCCTCAGTGACACATGTGCCCCTTGCCGATGTGCCCAGTGGCCGGGGGAGGACCGGCCTTGCCACAGGCTGCTCCGCAGGGTCCTCCCAGCTCTTTGGGCTCTAAGGGATTTGCTGCTTTGCGGCTCAGGACCTTATGCATCCACAGGCCTTCTTGGCCGGCTGCGGGTCCACACAGTCCTCGGGGTCGTCCCACAGGAAGGAGCAGTGCCCCATTTCAAGCGACTCCAGCTTGGGGATGTTTTTGACGCTGAAGGAAAGGACCATTTGATCGAAGTGGTTAAGATTGAACCCTTGGAGGTACACCCTGGTGAAAGGGTCCAAGGCGGCCACCACAAACTTCTGGTCCTGGAGCTCGTACAGACAGTGGCAGACCTCCAGATTACGGATCACCGCCATCTCCGGCATCAGAAGAGCTAGGGCCGTTTTCTGGCTGTTCTGAAGCCATGCCAGTAATTCCTGCGTAATCCTGGGTGTGATTCTACACCCGATCTCCTCCAGCTTCCTCCTGTGTTCCTCATTTAAGAGTCCGAAGAGGAACCGCACGGTTAGCACGCAGAAGTTCCTGGAGTTGCCGTAGCTCTCCAGCAGCTCCTTCACATCCCTGGTAGGACCAGCAGGGAGGTCCCTCGCCTCCCCTTCATCTTCCAGCAGGTAGAAGAGTGCAGCGAAAAACTCCTGGAAGCTGAGGTGGATGAAGCTGTAGGTGCTGACACAGGAGATGTCCCTCTGGAAGATGTGCTCGTTGAGGAGGAGCGGGAGGGCTTCTCGCTGGTCCAGTGCATACCTCTGCACCTCCTTCTCCTCGAAGAGGACCTTCTGCTTCCAGACGCCGTCGGCTGCCAGGCAGCACAGCCTCCTGAGCACCCCGGGCATGTCTTGCTTCAGCTGGCTGCTCACAGACTGGAGCAGGGCAGAAAGGTAAAGGGTGTAGATCCCTGTCGTCGTCTTCGGGCTTTGGGTGAGACCTCCGCTGCGGCTGAGCTGCTGCTTCACAACGGTGCAGACAATCCAGCACACGATGGGCACCAGGCACATGGTGAAGAGCGT